CCAAACTTCCAAACATCAAAAGAGAGAGAAAAGTATCCTTTTAAAATCCTGAGGTTTGTGTTCCTTGTTCAAAATGATCACACTGCTCTGGCCACCATGTCAGAGCTGTACCTCACTCTGGCACTCTGAGTGCAGAAGGTGGGGACCCACAAAAGACCTTTAATACTTTGTCTGTATGGGATCTGTTTAGAAAACAAACAAACAAACAAAAAAAAAAACCTCCCCAGAGTCATAGCACTCGCTCTAGAAGATAGGCTGCCACCAACAAATGATTTTTAAAGAATCCTAAAAAACCCTAGGAAGGAACACTTCAATTCCTTCCCTGAGGGTACCTAAAGCTCTTCTGCCACGAGAGCTTGAAAAGAGAAACAAAAGAAAACAAACCATGTCTTTGATAGCTGACCACTCAGGAAAGGCAGGCACACACATAGACATGCTACCTTCTAAGAGTCAAGAATCAAATCATTGCCTTAAAAAAGATTATTTTATTAGCCAAAAACAAAAAAGATATCCTTAATAAAGCATATTTGGTTGCTGAGTCTTACAGAGCAACTGCGAAAACCAAATTAAAACACAGAGCATAGTATCTCTGGGCTATAGCTTAAATAAGGAGAGTGGAGGAAGATAGAGCACATGGATTTTACACAGAGTTTAACCAAAACAAAGAAAAATACCCTGACTGCAACTAAACATACATTTTCCCTTATGCAATCATGATCCCTTCATGGTTCAGTCCACTTCCATGCCTGGTGGCATAGTAGTACTAAATACTGCACGTTGTTCCTCCAGTCCTTAACTTAGAATTCAAAAGAAGAAGCAGCTAGCTAGCTATATACAATTCAAATTTCAACAGTCTTTCCCATTGGCTCTCCCAACACCCCCGCTAGCTATTTGAGTTTAACCCTTTAGTCACTGAATGCACTCTTAGCCATCACAACTTGTATTCACTCTATGTCAATTAAATTCATAGCATCTCTAGGAACAAAGGAATCATCAGACTGGATTAGACCCAAGGCCCATTTAGCCCATCCTGTCTCCAATAATGGCCACTTACACCTTTCTTCTGAAGCACCTGTAAGACACCTGGAGTAGGCAGATGCAGAATATTACCCGCACTAGATCTCTCCCTGTTCTCCCAACAGTTAGACTGGCTTAAGGCATGAAGTTTAGAAACTCTTTCAAATTTACTATCTTTACCAAGACTACCAAGAGGGGTCAACGTTAACATCAAGTGTGACAGTGTTTTATGTGATAATGTAGACATCTGTCCATTACAAATTGGACTTACCAACTCACTTCACATAGAATGCACAGCCTCTAAATTGTGAACTACTGTGGGTTATTGCCATCCTAAGCTAGAATCAAAATAACCTTTCCTACATTAGGCTTATATCTTTAATAATAATTTACTATTTTGGCAGCACTGGAGGGAATGCTAGTGCAGACAATGCACTAGCCCACTGAAGCATTTTAAGTATTGAGTTATGTGGGCCTGCTCTGAGCAATATTAGATTATGCTCAGAAAACATCAATGTGCCTGAAGCAATATGAATACAGGGTATGACCATGACTACTACAGATGAAGCTCACCTAAGAATAACATGACAAATGTTTGGCAAGAAAGCATAATGTAAACACACCAACACCCTTCCAGCGACCTGGAAGCAAAAAGCACAAAACCATATTTCTATCACATTTTGCTTGTTATGAACATTCCTGACACTCACTCCTATATTTCCAGAAATGTTTTTGTTTTCAAAAAAGTTTCACATGAATATAGGCACAAAAACATTTCTCGTTTTCAAGCTGCGGGTTACTGACTTGTACATGATGTGTGGTATGAACAGAATGTCCAGAAAGATAGTGACTTTTATTTGCACTTTATCGCTATAAAATATTTAGACTGTATATGCCTTATATGAAAATAGTATGTAGCATTCTTGAAAAATGGTAACAGTGTACAATGAGTTACTTGAACTTTAACTCAGGGACTCTGACCACAGCTAGAAAATGTAGTGTAACAACACTATTTTTAACTATATGAAAAATAAAAAAAATGAGTTTGGAAATGTATGTTCGTGTGTTTCCACAAAACCCATTTAGTTTATGTCAAAGTATTTCTTTCTTGATCATTTAAAACGATGAAATGCATAAAATAACTTTGCAACATAATGTACTAAATGCTTCAACTTTAATATTCTGCATTCATACCAAAAACAATTAACATTTTTTTACAAATAGTGTTAACTAAATCACACTCTTCTACAACAGTGCAATTCAAGTATGTATCATATGCCAACATAAAATGGAATTTCAAAAATAAAAGAGTTCTTGGCTACTGCATATACTCTATTAAAACAAAGACAGACTTTAGCAGTCTCATTTCTAAGAGACACAAATAATACAGCTTTCCAGAAGTACATGTAGGAGAGAGGACTAGAAAAGAAGTCTCCTGCCACCTTCAGGCTGAGGCAGCAGCAAGAAAATGAGGTTTGGACCTGCAGCTATATATTTTCCCATTGCAGCCAGGTGAATGTTTCTCAGACACAAAAAGAGCCTAATATATCAATGAACTTTTAAAAACATTTTCCAGTGTTTTTTTCATATAATAAAGAAACTCAAATATCAAGGCATTTTTTCACATCTGACTGAACATTGTACTTAATAGTATACATGTCGGAGTGATCAGTATTTTTAATGGGGCAAATGGGACAACTCTACTGTGAAATTAGTCAATTGTATTACAACCGAACAACAGTAAGATGAGTCTTATCTTAACAGATAAGATGAGTCTGCCTACTGCTATTCATAGCAAAATTAGCATAAGGTGTAAAAAAACCAATGAAATAAAGCTCCAGGAAAATTTAAAGGAGATATTTTCTCTCTCTGCTCCTAAAAATGGACACATGCTGCTTCCTCTGAAGTTAAGTACCACACTGAAGCCAGATAGCTCCTGTAACACATGGCTATCATCATCTGCCTGTAAATTCCAGCAGACTGGGAGAGGAGTTTAAAATGGATACAAGTGGAGATTACACAGAAATATTTGAAAGCTAAGCAAAAATAGTTAACATCAAGCGAATTTAAAAGAAACTTGATTATTTAAACATTCTGGTAGGGACATTGATTTTAGGCTGGAGAATAAGATATCAGCACTCCAGCCTAAAAGCAACATTTCTACCACCTGGATGAAATCTGAGAACCCTGGGCCAATCTCAGTCAGATGATCAAAGACAATTCTCAATATAAGCAGAATTCTATATTTTGCAAATAAGTTGAAATATTTGCAATGACCAATAGGCTTCTCTGAAGTTCTGGTGACCCCAACTCATTTTCATTTCAGAAATCAAAAGATAACAGCTGCAAAAACTATATTGTGGAAGATTCTGCACTGCTGTGAGATCTGAAAAACATTCAGTGATCGTATTGTCTTCTAAGCCTCCTTTCTACTTTATTTGGGCTTAATTACATGATATTTATACTGTACATTGCTACAATAGGCATATTCTAGCTGGTAACACTAAACATTTATATACAGAGGCACCAATAGCTAGTATGACTGGGGCACACACTGACCCCAATCTTGAAGCAAGACAGTGGCAAACTCTGGTAGCAGTCTCCTCCATGACATCAGAGTAGCAATCTTTTCATTTGGACTATCCCTTGGTTTTCTTTTCAGGAAAATGAATTTCCTTGGGATGCTTTATAATTTTTGCCATTTTTGTTGTCCTATGTGCACTGAACCGATAGACATGAACAAAATGTCTATAAAATGAAGTGAGATAGAAATCATTTTGGAGAATTTGCTCTTGTTGGTCACAAAAAGCAAACCACAACACCCTATCTGAAGTCAGGTAACAGTTTTTCTAGTCCTTCATGGATATAGACTTTTAAAAACATTTTAGTATTACATTCAGAATTTACATGCAAAGAAATCAAGAGTTCCAAAAGTCAGCTTTCTACATTGTAATATGGCTGATAGTATTTTTGAGGGAGACAAACTTTAGAACAGCCTGACACTGGCATTTAAAATCTCAGCTTTAACTTTTTTAGAGAAACTAGAGACTCATATTTCACTCACATTTCACATAGTAAGACAAAGCAAGAAATGTGAAATTATTCTGTATATAGTGCATGGAAGGTTAAGAACTCTGTAGAAATGTCAGCAACAAAGTATCAATTGTGGGATTCACAGGGGGAACATATTAAAATAACTATCGGTAACTGGAGGGCAGTGGCCAAGTCATTTGTAAGAAAGGAAAAGAAGTTCAATAAGAGTTAGTACAATAAAAGTGTTCAATGTGTTACAGATATTTGATATCTCCGAGGAAGTCTATCCTGAAGAGGAGAAAGAATAACCAATTTAGGACACTGTGGACAGAAGTAAAAGGTAATGGTAAACATAAGAAACATGATGTGAGCTTAACAGGCAATCATGTTTTTAAAGAGGTTTGAGCTCGACCAAATGCGCCCAGGGACTTGGGCATATTACTAAGTTCAACAGGCAAGTTAAAAGCCTGAGTTCTACTTAAGAATATTACAAGTGACTTGAAAAGGGATATAAAGTAAAAGGAATGTTGGTAAGGACTGACATGGATGCTGCTGAATCAGTCATCTATTGTACCACAGTTTTGCACCACAATCTGTACCAAAATTTATGACAATTTAAATAATCATTTGATTCTGAGTTGTTCACAAAACTTATTACAGGAATTAGATAAGGACAATGACGTTAACAGTAAAAAAATGAAGATAGATAAGAACTAAGGAGGCAAAAAAGAGAAGGACTGACATGGATGCTGCTGAATCAGTCATCTATTGTACCACAGTTTTGCACCACAATCTGTACCAAAATTTATGACAATTTAAATAATCATTTGATTCTGAGTTGTTCACAAAACTTATTACAGGAATTAGATAAGGACAATGACGTTAACAGTAAAAAAATGAAGATAGATAAGAACTAAGGAGGCAAAAAAGAG